ACATTATTCATTATTGTTTGTATTTCTTGTCGTTTCAGAACCACACACACACACACAAACACACACATACCCATACAGACAGCCTCCAATAAATATACTCCAATCAAGTCAAGCGTCGCAGTGATTCTTACCGATCACCTGCTGTGGGTTCCAACTTAGCGATCCAGTAAATTAATTCAACTAGGAAGCACATCCTTCCTTTAAAGAAAACCTTAGAACTCACATGCTTGTGTGAGGCACCATTTTAAAGCTTAGGCCTTCTAGTTTCTGTGGATATGTATATGAAGACTGTGAGTGCTGCCTAACCTACAGTACAGTCAATTAAAATTGAAAAAAAAAAAAAATTTTTTTGCTTCGAAAAAATAATTGACAAAAATAAAGGCCTTAGCTTGGGCATACTTCATGCTAGGCATTTGTGACTCACTACACTCATTGTTCAAGTTGTTGGCAACAACTGTGTAGAATTTCAGATCTCTAGGACAAAGGGTTTTGATGCTGTGAGCCTTTGTGTTTACAAAATGACAATTCGGCACAAGATTGCCAAATTTGTGCCAAAATAATAATAATATAATAATAATAATAATTGTTATTATTATAATACTAATTCTTCTGAGCTTTAGGCATGTTTTCTCAAGAAAAAAAACTAAAAGTAGCCAGGTCTAAACCAGGACTAAACCAGGACTAAACCAGGTCTAAACCAGGTCTAAACCAGGACTAAACCAGGTCTAACCCAGGTCTAGGTTATTTATTTATTTATTTTTTGATACTCATTAGTTGGGAAATTATTATTTTTAATTACATACTAAATGTAATTAAATATTTTTTGTGATATTTACAGTTTTGTTTTTGTTTTTTACATTAATTAAAAACAATAAGACTATAAACTTAAAAAAAAAAAAAAAGTAAGGCAACTATTTACTTTATTTTTAATTTTTTAATTACTGCTTAATTGTTGGGGTTTACAGTGTAGTTTTCAAGTTAACAACCAACTTTTACATTTTATTTTGTCTTGATTGTAAATTCCAGGGCTGAAACGATCCAGATGATTCTAGTGAAGATGCGTAGAGTTTAAAAACACTTCCTGTCTCACCACACAATGACATCACGAGGTGTAACAGAGCATTGTCAGCTCGAGAGAAGAACTCAAGTCTCACAAACAGGAATCTAAAACGAGCAGAAGTTGAGTTTCATCTGCCCTTCACCCGTCCTCGTTAGTCCTGATTAATTCCCGAACACGCCCTCTGACGCTGCGACGTGATTGGCCGGCGGCTGACCCCCTGCGAGCGTTCTGATTGGCTGGGCCCGCTGTGTAAGACCTCACATTTATACAGAGGAGCTTTGGACAAACAGGGCCTGGGACGAGGGGGATGAACGGAGGCGGATTAGGAGCGGGTCTGTGCCGCGGGGACAGAGAGCCGTGGGGACGCGCTCCACGGGGACAAATATTAGACACGCTGTAATGTTTTAATGACCAGGACCAAAGCGCGGGGACATGCCGACTTCCGACTGGTCAGTGGTCCTTACAGAAGACGAAATGACCACGTACATACTAGAAGATTTTAGTTTAATTCTGCTTTAAAAAGACCACGTAAACACTTGATTATTCTGATTTTAAAGCCAAATTAATTTATTCCTCGATCATGTAAACGTTTATTCTTCTTAAAATTAATTCCGGTCGTTCGGCACCATTGTCGGGAGTAACGCCTTATAAAAAAGTAACGAATTACTGTAATGCATTGCTTTTTGCTGTAACGCAGTAATGTTCGGCATTACAGAGAGAAATTTTTTGTATTTTATTCGGTACAAATGTGAGTAACAAGCGTCACAATGCTTTTTTAACCTGGATTGAAGTGAAGTTTGAAGTTTTTCTTCATGCAAATTCGCTAAAATCACCGCGATATCAGCAGCGGTGAAATGCCAGAGATGCGCCCGCGCGTAGACCGTCGGGTGACCGCGGGCGAAAGGACCAACGCAGAACTCCACACTCCATGAGGCGAAGAGCAGCTGAGGCCCGATCGCGTTCCAAGTTCTAGTCCAAGATTAGTCCTGGTTTCGTCCTGGTTTAGACCTGGTTAAGTCCTGGTTCCGTTCTGGTTTAGTCCTTGTTCAGTTCTGGTTTAGTCCTGGTTCAGTCCTGGTTCAGTTCTGGTTTAGTCCTGGTTCAGTTCTGGTTTAGTTCTGGTTTAGTCCTGGTTCAGTTCTGGTTTAGTCCTGGTTTAGTCCTCAGAACCAAATATATCACTTCTTTTACCTGAAATAAGTCATAGTTTGGCAAATCCACTCTGTTTTTTAGTACTGAGTCTCTGATTGGTTAATCCACCTGTCAATCACAATTTAAAATCAGGGAGGCGGGACACGGTTCTAGATCCACTCGTCTTTATTCAGTTTTTTCAAAGTGTGTGGATTGTCGGCGTGTTCACAGTGACTCAGTTGTTCAGTTGTGTCTAGAAGTGGCACGTCGCACTCGCTTTTTCGGTTCGTTCCTCCGTTCCGTTCCTCGTCGGCGTAGAGTGATGAGTGCAGCTGCGGGTGTTTTTCGCCGCGTGGTCGCTGGGTGGAAGTGTTTACATGCTCTTTTTTAAAGTGGAATTCATTTTTATTCAGAATTAAATTATTTTTATTCGATATTAAAGCTCTCATGTCAACGTGGCAAAGCGAATCTTAATGCCATGAGTCTGCACACTCATAGAACTAGAGTTATGTTCAGTAACCTGAGTTTTTTCTGTCCTGTGTTTGTCTGGAATCAAACTTTAGAGCGGGAAAAACCTCTGTTCTAAATCAGGTCTAAACCAGGTCTAAATCAGGTCTAAACCAGGTCTAAATCAGGTCTAAACCAGATCTAAAACATGTCTAAATCAGGTCTAAAACAGGTCTAAATGACGTCTAAAACATGTCTAAACCAGGTCTAAAACATGTCTAAACCAGGTCTAAAACATGTCTAAACCAGGTCTAAAACATGTCTAAACCAGGTCTAAAACATGTCTAAACCAGGTCTAAAACATGTCTAAATCAGGTCTAAAACAGATCTAAATCAGGTCTAAAACAGGTCTAAATCAGGTCTAAAACAGATCTAAATCAGGTCTAAAACAGGTCTAAATCAGGTCTAAAACAGGTCTAAATCAGGTCTAAAACAGGTCTAAATCAGGTCTAAAACATGTCTAAACCAGATCTAAATCAGGTCTAAACCAGGTCTAAATCAGGTCTAAACCAGGTCTAAATCAGGTCTAAACCAGGTCTAAACTAGATCTAAAACATGTCTAAATCAGGTCTAAAACAGGTCTAAATGACGTCTAAAACATGTCTAAACCAGGTCTAAAACATGTCTAAACCAGGTCTAAAACATGTCTAAATCATGTCTAAAACAGGTCTCAATCAGGTCTAAAACAGGTCTAAATCAGGTCTAAAACAGATCTAAATCAGGTCTAAAACAGATCTAAATCAGGTCTAAAACAGGTCTAAATCAGGTCTAAAACAGATCTAAATCAGGTCTAAAACAGGTCTAAATCAGGTCTAAAACAGATCTAAATCAGGTCTAAAACAGGTCTAAATCAGGTCTAAAACAGGTCTAAATTAGGTCTAAAACAGGTCTAAATCAGGTCTAAAACATGTCTAAACCAGATCTAAAACATGTCAAAACCAGGTCTAAAACAGGTTTAAATCAGGTTTAAAAAAGGTCTAAAACATGTCTAAACCAGGATTAAATCAGGTCTAAACCAGGTCTAAATCAGGTCTAAAACAGGTCTAAATCAGGTCTAAAACAGGTCTAAATCAGGTCTAAAACATGGCTAAACCAGATCTAAAACATGTCAAAACCAGGTCTAAAACAGGTTTAAATCAGGTTTAAAAAAAGGTCTAAAACATGTCTAAACCAGGATTAAATCAGGTCTAAATCAGGTCTAAAACAGGTCTAAATCAGGTCTAAAACAGGTCTAAATCAGGTCTAAAACAGGTCTAAATCAGGTCTAAAACATGTCTAAATCAGGTCTAAAACAGGTCTAAACCAGGTCTAAAACATGTCTAAACCAGGTCTAAAACAGGTCTCAATCAGGTCTAAAAGAGGTCTAAATCAGGTCTAAAACAGGTCTAAATCAGGTCTAAAACAGGTCTAAATCAGGTCTAAAACATGTCTAAACCAGGTCTAAACCAGTTTTTTCTGTCCTGTGTTTGCTGGAATCAAACTTTGGAGCAGGAAAAACCTCTTTTGTAACTGGACAATCCAACCATGTCTGATAATCTGTGTCACACGTCTCTCAAATGCAGAAGACAAATTTTTTTTTTAGTACTTTATTTAAATTTTTTTCCCATTTTTTACATGTAAACAGTTGTGCATCTCTCTTATTGGTTAATCCACCAGTCAATCACAATTTAAAATCAGGGAGGCGGGACATAGTTCTAGATCCACTCGTCTTTATACATTTTTTTCCCCAATGTGTGTGGTTTTGGTTTCTGGTATCAGTATCTGTCCGTCTCTTCTTTTTTCTCTCTTTCGGACGCCGGGCGCGCTCTCGTTTTTCCGTCTTCCTCTTTGTGCATCAGACACACTCTCTCAGTCACGAGCTTTTTCCTCCCGTCGCCCATTTAGACTCTTTATGTAGACGAGACTTAAACGTTTGTCTCCAGAGAAATTCCAATAACGATTCAACTCCTGTGTGGGCCTGGACCTGGTTCACGTCTGTCAAACGCTCCCGGTATTCTTCTAGTCTTTGAGAGTCCTGGTTTAGTCCTAGTTTAGTTCTGGTTTAGTCCGGGTTTAGTACTGCACATTCCTGTTGCGACTTTGAGAGAAGAGTTTGAATCAGAGCCAAAGTCTGGAGAAGAGTTTGAGTTACAAGGAGAAACCTGTTAGGCCTGATTTTAGTACTGATTTTAGTTCTTGTTTTTGTACTGGATGTAGTCCTGGTTTTAGTCCTGGTTTTAATCCTGGATGTAGTCCTGGTTTTAGTCTGGTTTTAGTACTGGTTTTAGTCCTGGTTTTAGTCCTGGTTTAGTACTGGATGTAGTCCTGGTTTTAGTCCTGGTTTTAGTACTGGATGTAGTCCTGGTTTTTAGTCCTGGTTTTAGTACTGGATGTAGTCCTGGTTTTAGTCCTGGTTTTAGTACTGGATGTAGTCCTGGTTTTAGTCCTGGTTTTAGTACTGGATGTAGTCCTGGTTTTTCCCATTTTTTACATGTAAACAGTTGTGCATCTCTCTTATTGGTTAATCCACCAGTCAATCACAATTTAAAATCAGGGAGGCGGGACATAGTTCTAGATCCACTCGTCTTTATACATTTTTTTCCCCAATGTGTGTGGTTTTGGTTTCTGGTATCAGTATCTGTCCGTCTCTTCTTTTTTCTCTCTTTCGGACGCCGGGCGCGCGCTCTCGTTTTTCCGTCTTCCTCTTTGTGCATCAGACACACTCTCTCAGTCACGAGCTTTTTCCTCCCGTCGCCCATTTAGACTCTTTATGTAGACGAGACTTAAACGTTTGTCTCCAGAGAAATTCCAATAACGATTCAACTCCTGTGTGGGCCTGGACCTGGTTCACGTCTGTCAAACGCTCCCGGTATTCTTCTAGTCTTTGAGAGTCCTGGTTTAGTCCTAGTTTAGTTCTGGTTTAGTCCGGGTTTAGTACTGCACATTCCTGTTGCGACTTTGAGAGAAGAGTTTGAATCAGAGCCAAAGTCTGGAGAAGAGTTTGAGTTACAAGGAGAAACCTGTTAGGCCTGATTTTAGTACTGATTTTAGTTCTTGTTTTTGTACTGGATGTAGTCCTGGTTTTAGTCCTGGTTTTAATCCTGGATGTAGTCCTGGTTTTAGTCCTGGTTTTAGTACTGGTTTTAGTCCTGGTTTTAGTCCTGGTTTTAGTACTGGATGTAGTCCTGGTTTTAGTCCTGGTTTTAGTACTGGATGTAGTCCTGGTTTTAGTCCTGGTTTTAGTACTGGATGTAGTCCTGGTTTTAGTCCTGGTTTTAGTACTGGATGTAGTCCTGGTTTTAGTCCTGGTTTTAGTACTGGATGTAGTCCTGGTTTTAGTCCTAGGGTTGTCCCGATCCGATCACGTGACCTGGACATTATATCTGCAGTTGCCATTGGTGAATTCCTCTCCAGCATATGTGACAGTTCAGCTATTTTCTTGTTAAGCAACAACTCCTTTGCTGCATTTTTCTTCTTTAGGTCAATAACGTCAAGCATGTGCTGTTTTTTGACCTCGTTACGCTCTTTCTCAAGCTAAAGGGCCAACCAAAAAAGCACAATGTTATACTAGACACAAGTTAACAGCAACATCACATTTTAAAGTTTCTATATTACGCAAAATGGACTCTTGTTATAAAAAGCATCCCTGGAGTTGTGTTTTATTATTGGTCTGTCTACATATCCAAAACTCAAAAAAAAAAAAGTGTTCCACCTTATGATGTCATGCAGCGGTAGTTTTCCAGTTAACAGCTCCTTTTACCTTTAGTTCAGAGGAGATTGGCAATTCCAGGGCTGCAATTATCCACATGATTCTAGTGAAGGTGTAGAGTTTAAAAACAGAGGAGCACTTCCAGTATTACCACATGACATCATAAGGTGGAACAGTGTGTGTTAAACATATGTGAATGAAACAAAACAAAACTCTAGGTATACTCCAGGTTTGTGACAAGGAAATATTACAGGTCAGAAAATAGTGTAATATGGGTCCATTAAAGAAATGACTGAACCAGGACTGTTGATATTGGGTGGTTACCTTTTCCACCGCATTTCTCAGCAGAATATGCTTGGTGAATATTTCCCTGAAATCTTGGGCAGTCTCCTTCGCACAAAATCTTCTTTTCTGTCAATAATACAAAATACACACTCACACAGGAATAGTGGCATTCATAACCGTTCACCATGATATACTGATACTTTCTGGACAACTGTAGATGGTGTTACGACACTATGATTGACATTCTATAATTTATAATAGACAAAGACCTCTGATCAGATGTATGTATATTACAACTAATTTAAAGGAGACATATGCAAAACTGACATTTTTGAGCTAACCCTTATCAAAAACATAGCTTAAAATGTGTTTTGCTTCAAGCACACTTTCACTAATCCTGTATACCTTCCTCAGAAACACTCAGAAATCACTCAGTTTCAATTTTTCTGTTATTGTTACATAACAGAAAAATAAACCAGAGGTCTCCTGCACAGTGGTTAGGTCTATAAAGCATTGCTAAACTCATTTAGGATATGTCTGCAGTCAATTTGGTATATACATATGCATATACATTAACATTAGCATGCACATTGCTACATGTTCACATTGTTGTTGTTTTTTCATGTCTACTGCTGTCAGCAAAGAGAGCTCTAACATAAACTACTATTCTACTTATTTTAATATAGGCTTTACTTAAGTACTTAAATACTTTTACTTAAGTGAGTTTTCTAATATTGACATTATATTCTGAAGCCTAAAAATACAAATGCCAAGGGACCCAAAACCATGGGAGCCAGTAAAGGTCATTTGAAGTATGATATGTCCACTTTAAAGGAATCAGTCACCCAGGTATGTTCTATTACAAAACAATATAATTCTGTCAAATGGAACATGAAACTGTAGAGTGAATATAATTCACTGCCTTAACTTTAAAGTTCTTTTCATGGCATTATGATGCTGAGACAATGCTCTAGTGATCCGAGAGAGACTGAAGACAAGGTAAGCTGTAATGTGTTTCCATAACTTTGGTGAACAGGCTAAAGAATCTATGTTCTCACCCTTTCCTGTTTTCTGGCCTCACTGCGGCCACTTATGTACTTGTCAGAAATCTCTGAAAGCTGCTGCTGAGCAGCAAAGAGCTGCTCCTTCAACTTCTGATTCTCCTCCTTGGCCTGAATCAGCTTCCACGCATTTTCCTTCCGATGGCGAACAAGAGACTCCGCCTCTTTCTGAAAAAAGGTTAGACATAAATCAAACTTTATTGCCAATATCCACCATCTTTGGTGTAAGCAGACAAAATATTCATGGTGATGCATTCACCTGAGCATTCTTAAAAGAAAAAGCAAAAAAAAGGCTGGAACAATCTGCAGGGTCACTTCTGGTGAACATTTATCAGACTATAGTGTCAGAATATGTTTGTGTGAACGCTAACTCCAGGTGTAAACATTTCATTCCACAGTATGGAAATAAAAGTTGTATAGTTCTATATATGACAAGCAGGAGCTATCAGGCAAAGTTATAGATCAGTGGAGGGGCAACCCAGCATGATAAAAACTCATGTAATTAAATACATGCAGCACTGAACACTAAGTTTAATGATATATTGTGGAACATTTCAGTGAGTAAGAGCATATCCGTGGAAACAAGCTTTTGACTGTGTTAGGTTGCTGCTATATGTGTGTGTGTGTGCATATTTGTCTGTATGAATCCAGAATTGACTGATTTTGTTCAGAATTTCAAAGTAAAGGTCCAGTCTTACATGCAGCTCCTCCTCTTGGGTAGTGACTAAAGCTTGTTTCTCCAGAAAGATTTCCTGGAAGTTTTCACGCCCAGTCTCGATGGCTGAAATAAATTTCTTAATGGCCTCAAAAACAACCTGCTGTTTAACATTATCAATTTGTTTTCTTAAGTATTTTTCCATGCAATCTGTAAAAGTAAAAAAAAAAGGACAATTTTAAAAAGCATTTTTTCATTTTTACATTTCAAAGCATTCTAATTTTTTTTTTTTTTTTTTTTTACAAATCTTCCATTTTTATAATACAAAGCATTACAGATGCATTAGCTCAAAATGTTGCCTCTAAACAGGAAGTGGCTACCCGTGAATAGAAGCTGAATACTTTTGGATGAATGCAACCAGCAAAGTTTACTATTTAGCATCTTCAAATCTCCATTGGTTTATCACTGGCCTGTATTTTACACGATGCTCCACAAATGAAAGAGAAAATATTGCAAACTGAGTTAACTGAAAATAAATAAATAAAAAACATGTATCTCACTTCTGCTTGGCTCTTGACAGTCCTGGTCTTCTCTGTCCTGCAACACATGGGATCCAATATTAATCTACATAGAGAGATAACATAGATAGATCTTTTGCCTCTTTATTTTAATTTCTAGATATAATTGAACACTAAAACCAGTCTAATATTAAGTCATTTTATGTTACATTGCCTATTATATATTTCTATGTAGGCAATTAATTAATTTGCGAAGCCTTCAAGAAGAATAGCTACTAGAGGTGTGCGGATGGGCGACTTTTTCATCTGCAACCGCATCGCAAAACTCATCATCCGCCTGCTGTCCATTTGCAACCACAGTTTTTGACCAGTTTTCAAAATCCTCCCATTTGCTCCGAGTTCAGAGTTTTTAATTTGAATAGTGAATCCGCCACCCGCCCGAATTTAATTAAAATATTTTTCGTCAAGTCATCCGCCCGACCCGCGGCTGTAACCGCCATCCGCGCATCTCTACTACTG